TTATTCCTAATATTTGAATTCCAAGGCACAGGCACACTCAGGCCCCTGCCTGGCCAGGCCCGAGTGGTGGCGCCTTTCTGCTTCATGTGATCTCAAACCCTCACTTTTGACTGATGTCAAAGTAAAAGAAAATAAGGTATTCTGTTGAAACAGCTCCTTAATTCAGGTGCTGAGCCTCAGTAATCAAACTGTGGAGGTTTTTTATTGCCGATAACAACCCCCCCTTCCAAGCAGCGAAGTCGCTGGCGTATGCTCTACTGGAGTGACACAGCTCAAAATTAAGCCAGGCAGCAGAACTCCGTCTTCGTCTGTTGCCAGCAAGGAAGAGGACGGAGTGAGGAACACCAATTAAGTAGCTCACTCGTTCCCCCCTCCCCTCCAAGGAGGCTCTTGTTATTTTGGGAAGGAGGCAAAGGGGACCCCCGCGGCTGGAGGTAAGCTCAACAGCGGATCCAACATTTGAGGCAAACCCCCTTGTGTTCAGATTACAACATTCCTCTGTCTATGTTAGTGGATAATTTAAAATCTTACAGGATATAATGATCTTAGTAGATTTATCATGATACAATAACTGACTTTTTTTGAAAAAATAGAATACTATGCAGTTTTACTCTGGAGTAAGTAAAATTGTGTTAACTCGTGGTGGCAAATTGTTAATTATGTTTCAGTCACATGCCTGGTCACACAACAAGGTGCATGGTCAGGCTCATGTCTGGAACCTTGTTAATTAGCTGCAGTTCATTATTGCAGGTTGTGAGATATAGCTCACTTGGGAACAAATACAGTTATTTTGACCTTTCTCTTCCAATTGATGGATTTATTTCCCCCCTCCTTTTTAAAAATTATTTAACTGTAGTATATTCACATGCTATTTGAATATGTCCATTGTGTTTCCTTTTGCTTTGCACATACATATTTATTTCTGTTTACATAAATTACTAATTCAATATTTGTCTAAATATACTTTTAGAGCACTTCTACTGAATTACACAAACACGCATCCACACAGGTTAGTCTACCTTTTTGATTTAATTCATCAACTCATTTGCTAAATGACAGTTTCATTCACCAAATGGTACTTTGGTCCTTAAACACAACCATCAGCACAACTGCCAAACCTAAGAGTTAAAAGTCAGACCCTGACTTCAGTCACATTTTGTGACAACAGTGATCGTCAGCATGGCCCCTGCATTAGGAAACGTAATCCTTGCTTACCTTAACCTCATTTGTGTGGTTTAAAAATTTATTATTCTCCTTCCCTTCAAGAGACTGAGATGTTTGTTGCTGGTGTCAATGAGATTTGTTTGCATTTGTGAAAATGGCTGCAATCCATTACTAAGTCACAAATAGAGATGTTTGTTGCTGGTGTCAATTAGATTTGTTTGCATTTGTGAAAATGGCTGCAATCCATTAGTAAGTCACAAATAGAGCAGGCCTATTCAACCAGTAGAGACTGGGGGAGTCAACTCTTCCATAAGTTCCATTGATCCAATTAGCGTACTTCAGTTGCAGCTCACTACTGAATTTCAGACAGTGAAATCGGCACGCAAAACTGTGCAAAATTAAAATACCTGCTGCCTTGTTGTATAGTTGTTGTTATTGTTTTTAATCAGAAACACTAGATGGTTTGTATCTGACCTTCAACATTTTGTGTGTGCATGTTCTTAGCCTCACAAAGGGAAAAACCATGAATTTTGCACGCAGATATTTTATACAAACTGCACAAAGTTTAAATGAAAAAAAAATGTAGTGGTTGCCACGTTATACTATGGAGGTGAAAAATCTTGTGGCGTTTAGAATTTTTTAAAGGAGATACCATATTCTGTTGCCAGCCCAAATTAATGACAGTGAGTCCTTATCCTGTATATAGAACCTTATATGAAATTTGGGATTTCTATGTCCGAAACCAGGTTTTGTTCCAGTCCATTTCGAGACAAATTTCATGAAAAGGTAATGATGGAGCTTATTTGGTATCTAGAAACTTAAATTCTTAGTTGTCATGCCTCTACCCCGCTTTGTCTCTCAAAGATGAATGAAGGCCCCAACTCACCAACAACTACAGGATAACATACTTCATAAACTGTTATCCTGTAGCCATGACTTCTGCAAATGAAGAAACTGCAGGAGAGCTACTTTAGCAGCCTGCAAACAAAGGGCTTTGGGAGTTTTCCCTATTTCTCTCACAGCTTTAGCTGCAGTACAGCGTTTTAACCACTGCGCCAGTGTAGCCATGATTTCTGCAAATGAAGAAACTGCAGGAGAGCTACTTTAGCAGCCTGCAAACAAAGGGCTTTGGGAGTTTTCCCTATTTCTCTCTGTGTGGCCAGTTAATGCAAATTTACCTGGGGAAACCTGACTTCCCAGGTGTGACTTCACTGCAGGTCAATTTGAATTTTTCCGTCTGTTTAGTCACACCTTTACTTTAGCTCAAACTCTTTTCGCATCTTCTTTTCCCTCACCTCCCATTGTTTTGGGATTACCCTAGGATCAACTCTTCCTCATGGCCAGCTGGAGAGCAAGCGATCAGGGGAGAGAATGAAGAAAGTTGTTGGTGGGTGTTTAAAAATCCCTCAAACAACCTGATTTGCAGATACCTTTGAGTCATCAGTAGCATTACCACTGATGTCACAGCTACTTTTCCTTGGTTTTTAACCTTTTTCAGCCTTTGCAGGTGTGCATGGTGTAAGATTGTTGCATAGATTAGGACAGGTTGCTGCTTAATGGCATGGATAAATCCACTGTTATGACAGCTGTGGAGCCACTTCTTCAAACTGTTTTTCGCTGGATGTTAGAATCTTCCTTTGCACTTTTCTATATGAATTTCTGTCTCTTAAGCCATGGCTAATTTGTGTGTCTTTTGTTTCTAATTAATCTAAATTGGTTCACTAATACCTAATGAAGGCTCCTGGTCCATAGTCTGGCACAGCAGGATTATTTGGGGACACGGTGAGCCTTTGAATCTTGGTTCCCATCTTGGTTTAGTAACAGCTTGCATCTGTAAATTAGGTGGATGTGGTGAAATTGCTCTATTGATTGTTAGATGTTAGCTCAGCTATTAAGAGCAATTTATTCAGCATGTTTGGCACCTGGGATTCTGGAAGCTGATGACCTCATTAATTTCCCGGCTGTTCCTCTCAGCTCTATATAAACAGACAAAGCAGAATGTGAATTGATTAGCAGAGACAACAATTAAGGCTCTGGGGGCTGCTTCAGTCTTTTGTCAAACTGTGTTGTCTGACCTTCTGCCTCTTTTTTTATTAAATACCTGCTCACCAAGATGGTCCAGAGCAGAGGCTGGGGCAACAGGACTAGAGCTATCGTACATATCAGAAACAGGTTTAGAAGCGTGTAAGTGTATTCTGTAGAACACTGGTAGGGAATGTATGGCCTTCCAAATGATGGACTGCACCTTCCACCATCCCTCATCATTGACTATATAGATAGAGCTTCTGGGAGATGCAGACCCAACAGCATCTGGAAAACCATGTGATCCCCACTCCTACTCTAGGAGCTGTATAGGATAGCCTGTGAGCAAAATTACCAGCTCAGTACAAAATCCAACATGGCCTGCTCTTATGCTTTGAACAAGTCTCAATTCTACAGAACCCAGACGATCTAATTTTTAAGGAGTGGAGTGTTTTTGTGTGTGTGTAACCTCCTCTCTCCATATTAGCCAGAAATTAACCGGTTAATTATGCTGGCACAACTATAACCGATACATTGCAGTGGAGTTTTACTACTAGTTAACAAGGTGCCTCTTGTATCTCTCACCATATGCTACACTTGTGAGTTGGTGCGTAATGATACAAGCAGTAATTCACTAATAGCAGCAATTTGTTATTACTGTTGATATTGTTAGACTTACAGTAGCATAACAAACTAGGAGGATGTATTCTCAAAGGCTTTCACAGCTGGGATCTGATGGTTGTTGTAGGTTTTCCAGGCTATTTGGCCGTATTCTGGAAGTTTTTCTTCCTAATGTTTCGCCAGTCTCTGTGGCCGGCATCTTCAGAGGATGGGGGTTTAGAACTCTGTCTGTGTTCTGGAGTATTGTCACATTATACCACAACACAGACAGAGTTCTAAACTCCTGTCCTCTGAAGATGTCGGCCACAGAGACTGGTGAAACATTAGGAAGAAAAACCTCCAGAACACGGCCAAACAGCCCGAAAAGCCTACAACAACCAAACAAGGAAGAATTTGTAAACTTCAATATTTCTTCCCATTTCTGCATTTTAAAAAGCCAACAGATAGCAAGATTTAATAATAGAAAGTCACCAGTCAATCACCTGTCACAACCCACTGGCCAAAATCCTGTTGTGTATAATTTTGCACCAAGGCAAAAGATGTATCAAGGAAGCAGTTCTGCAGATGCATCATTACGGTATTTGTTCTATCAACTAGTTGTACTGTACAATCAGCCATATGGACCGTCAGGGCATAACTCCCTGTGAACTTCCACAGGTATACCTTTACATTTCTCCAGGTACAAATAGGATTTCAGCTACTCTTGTGCATACCTAGAGAAGACAGATGGAAAAGATCACAGGGCTGCTACACCTTCAATTATTGTGCAGAACGAGCTATTTCAGTATATGTCTCTTTTTGTGTTAGCAAAATCTCCTGAAATTCCTTCTTGTACACAACGTCTTAAGTATAACAGCCCTGTCCTGTGTTGCATCTAGATTGATTGATTGATTGATTGATTGATTGATTGATTGATTGATTTACTTACTTACTTACTTACTTACTTACTTACTTACTTACTTACTTACTTACTTACTTACTTACTTACTTACTTACTTACTTACTTACTTACTTACTTACTTACTTACTTACTTACTTACTTACTTACTTACTTACTTACTTACTTACTTACTTACTTACTTACTTACTTACTTACTTACTTACTTACTTACTTACTTACTTACTTACTTACTTACTTACTTACTTACTTACTTACTTACTTACTTACTTACTTACTTACTTACTTACTTACTTACTTACTTACTTACTTACTTACTTACTTACTTACTTACTTACTTACTTACTTACTTACTTACTTACTTACTTACTTACTTACTTACTTACTTACTTACTTACTTACTTACTTACTTACTTACTTACTTACTTACTTACTTACTTACTTACTTACTTACTTACTTACTTACTTACTTACTTACTTACTTACTTACTTACTTACTTACTTACTTACTTACTTACTTACTTACTTACTTACTTACTTACTTACTTACTTACTTACTTATATACCGCCCATCTAGAACATGTCTACTCTGGGTGGTTTATACAAATACAAAACTAGAGATATAATAAATGAAAACATAAATACATTAAAAGATGGGGCCCAATTTTACTACGGGAGTAAAAAAAAATCTAAGTGATGGCTGTTGGGAAGGCTTGCCTGCAGAGCCAAGTCTTTAGTGTGCTCTTGAAGGCCCTCAGTGAGGGGGCCAGGCAGATCCCTAATGGTGAGTTGTTTGAGAGACAAGGGGCCATTGCCGAGAAGGCCTGGTTTTTAGTTTTTTCCCCTTTTGGCCTCTCTTGGAGTTAGATTTGATTGCTGTATAAAGGCTAATAGATTGTCATGAGTTCAGCTGAAGATCTGGAACCTGAGGGTTTAACTACAACTGAGGAGAATGCTGAGCAATTAGAAGCACAGACAGCTGAATCACCACCAGATTCTCCTCCCCCAGTAGCCAGGGTAAGGGCTAGACTTCAGCAAAGACTTATGATGCAAAGGTCAGAGGATCGCCTGAATGCTGCCTGCAGAAACATCAGGTCAGCTAGTCCTGCGTTTTGACAGGATGAAAGGCTTCCAGCAGTTCAATGACTGTTTTACTATATAATCAGCTCCCAGACAGTTGGCAAGCTTGTGGAACCAACAAGTCAAATCTCTGTCTTGCATCCACACTCTTGACTACCTTGAACCTTGTTTTCTGGACCCTTGGCTTTGGACTCTGACCCTGGACTACATTGTGTGATTTTACTTTGGACCCTGACCTTGGATTATTGTTTGTGATTTGGCTATGGCATTTTGATATCTGCTCTGCATTCTCTGAACTTCTGATATTGGACTGGCTTATCGGACTTTGCTGTTGAAACCCCTGGGAACGTGACAATTTACAGGAGTGACGTGGGCATTCTGTCACATACCTTGCCCCCCCCAGGGAATGTGACATAGATATAACTTCCCCCTCCAATAATTGAATAACTTGCCATAAGCCTAACAAAACCAACTCAAGTGATCTTCGATGATTGAAGATCTCTCAGATTTGAATGGTCTTCAAAATGCTGGGGTAGGATGCAGAATGGTCCTGTTTCTAAGTAATGAACTTCACTGAGATTAATTGGACTTGCTTTCTTTATGAGAAGGCTTGGTGCTTAGAAAGCATCATTTCTTCAACCTAGTACCCTCTTGGTACACTCAACCACCACTCACTCCCATCACCCTCAGGCAGTATGGCTATCCAGACATTTTCTATGAAGTCTAGGTGTAACAAGTGATGGGAGAGGTATTAATCTGCAAAAAAAAAAATGGCCTAACCAAGTGCTTTCTATGTGGACCAGACTCAGGTTTAGTGCTTTTATTGTCTGCCAAAGAGATCTATAGATTTCAGTTTGCCCCGTATATAGATTTCTCAGTTACAAAAGACAGACACCATACATATCTTGTGATTTCTCATCCAGTGGAAAATAAGCCAGGTAGCACTGGTCCTGGACTTCTTGCTTTTGGGTAAAGTGGGGAGTGCTTTATGTCACGTACTTACATGAAATAGGCTTTGCAGCTGGACTGCAGCACTCAAGGGTCTTTTCCAGATCTTTCAAATGTGTTCCTGACTTGAGAGGAGACCTTAAGACAAGTGGAGCAGGGTACCATAGCAACTGCTCTGTCAGGTTCTGAGACAGAATGTTATCAATAGGCAAAGGAGTTGAATCTTGGGATATTGCTATGTATTTCAAACATTCAAGGCTCAGCCACCAAGAGCTAAATCTGCTGAAAATGTGGATATAGTGATTTATATCTATATATGCACACTTAGAAATAATAACCAGGATTTATTTAAATTTCACAGATGGACAATTTCCTATCAAAATCAAGCCAAATAAAATAAATTATATAATTAATTCACACCTCTCCACCATTCCCCTGGTCATCCCATACTGGTACTTCCCTTACATTTACAAGTGCTATGCAGTAGTTACGAAGAAGCAGTGGGTGGTGTTTGTTTTTAATGAGATTCTACGCATATGCTTGCGGATTCCCAGGGTGGTATAGCGGATAGAGTGATGGACTAAGACTCTAAAGACCAAGGTTCAAATCCCCTGTTAGCGATAAAAATTAAAAGTGGGAACTGGTAAAACCACTCCTTAAATATCTCACTTACCTTGAAAGCCCTATTATGGTTGCTATAAGTTAGTTTTGACTTGATGGCACAGAAAACACACACACACACACACACACACACAGAGAGAGAGAAAGATGTATAATTTTAAATTTCTGGTTAAAATTCTCCTTTTTATAGACAACAGAAGGAGAACAGATTTAAGTTTCTCAGAAAATCTACCCCTTTCTCATTAACTGGCACTTACAGTCTCAGTAAATCAATTTGAGACATTAATACTGTAGTAGAAAGAACAAAAACATTTCAATTCTTTACTCATAGTTACAAACAGATAACAGCAAACTGACAACTAGTTGATAACCCGCTCACTGCTTCCAACAGACAAAAAGAGAGGGAAATAGCACTCTCCACAGGTTGATGAGGCACTCTTTAAATTCTGAGTCAGGAGAGAATCATTGGTTAATGCTGGAAAGACTGAGAGTCACGTCAGCTTAAAAAAGGCCCTCCCAGTCAAATAAATTACAGGCAACATGCAGGGTTGTAAAAACTCCAACAAAAACACACAGCACAGATATGGAGGATGAAAGTGTATAATTTTACTTTGTGTTGTGGCTTTAATGCCTGGTTGCCCATCTTCTGCCCATTCCCCACTAGTATTAATGCTTCCTCGCTCACCTTGAAGTTATTTGTATTTGTGTTGCAACATAGTATGCCAGTAAGATATAATGCATTGCCTTTCTTGCTTTCTCATGTACCATGAGCACTCAAGCACACATGCATATATATACTACTAGGTAGTTGTTATGTAAGCCCACAGGCCTGTGACATCACAAGGGTCTGACCCTTTACCTCAGGTTTTGGTCCTGAAATCTCAGGAGCCAGAAAGTGCTGACTTGGTCAACCTGCTCTCCTCACTCAAGTGGAAAACGTGGACAGGCAGCCCCATTGCACTAGAACTTAAGAGCAGTCATCCATGAAGCTAAATGGTGGCTAAGTGGCAGATTCAATACAGGGATGAGGAAGTACTACATCAAATAACACATAATCAAACTACAGCATTCACGTTTGCAGGATATGATGATGGCTCTAAAGGAGATTAGAAAAATTCATGGAGGATAAACCTATCAGTGGCAACCAATTATGCTGGATGTGTGTTGCCTCCTGGCATCACAAGTAGGCATGCTTCTGAAGCTGCTGGAGGACATGACTGCAAATCTCTGATGCAGGAGCCTCGCTATCCTGTTCCTTAAAATAGTTTGAGAACAGAGATGGAGGATCCCGACAGCAAGGGGTGGGGATTACCTTCAGCTGCTGCTGTCTTACTTCTTCCATCCAATTAATTATCCCACAAATTTCACTTATCTCTAAATACACAGGCAGATCATTACCAGAGCAGGAAGTGCCTAGACCCTTAAACTTTGTGGTGGGGCACCCCTTGCTCAGTCCAGAAGTCACCCCTGGCTGCACGCTTGAGAGATGGATGCAAAACTCCCATCTTCATTTTCTCTCTGCTTTTCTTCTCCTTCTTCTGACCTTTTAATTTTTGCAAAAAGTAATCCTGGGCTCTGCAAGCGAACTTAGATGTGCTGCTAAGAGTTAACTATTTGAAAGCAAGTGCTCAGTGGGGAACTCTAGTATTCCTGTCTTGCAGCTAAATTATGTTCCTAAAATGCAAATGATCATTGACTGAGCTAAATAATAAATAAAGGCACATTATAGAATAAGCCACTCATTATATGTTAACCACAGAAAAGTAAACATCTTACTGATCTCATTCGTCCATCATTCCTGCTCAGCAAGAGACTGAAGTGGAAAGAACTGATGGCTTCATCTCCTGTGGTTTTCCATTTTATCTTATTTGCTTAACATTTGGTTACGGGTGGGGTGTTTCAGTGGAGGCACAGATATGTTTTGGGAGAGCAAGCTTGACAGCAGAATTCAGTGTTGGAGTCCGTATTCTAAATTAAATGACAACAAGCAATGTAGTTTCATGTTGTTGCTAATACCTTTAACACAATGTGACTATAAAACAGGCACACTGTCTTGTGCTTTTTTAAAAAAAGAAAATAATCATATGGGTCTGAGGGGATGTTCCTTGAATGATGACCTTGCTTGGCTTGTTTTGCGTACTTATACGTGTGCTGCATGTACAGTATATACTATTGTACCTCAGTGGCACCTATAAGTGAAGGATTTACAATACAGTATCTTGACATTTGAGGAAAACAATGAGATATACTTCCGTACAAGTCATATATGATTTTGCTCATATAGAACATTTGTCCCTCACCACTTTGTGCAAGCTTAGTGCTGCCTAACCACAAACCTTACCAGGATTTCTGTCCACACACATTTTTAAAACACCACTTTTCTTTTAATAATCAGCATCTCTTTAAGAAAAAAAAATCTATTAAAAGATTTGAAGAAACCTGCCAAAGAAACACTTCAAAACCCTTTAAAACCGTTTAGAAAAACGTTGTCTACTCAATTCCTTTTTCCTTTGCCATAGTAGATTAGTGATAAATTGAAAGTTACTAATGATAGAAGACGCCCACTGCTAATTCACTCCAGAAATCAAAAGTAAAAGCTTTAAAAAATGTGGATGTTGTTTTCAAAGTAGTAGCCATCTTAATCTGTGAAAGCATATCAGACAAGAAACAAAATAAAAGCAACAAAATAAAGGGAAGAAGAACTGTTGTGGCACTTTAAAGACTAACTGCTGCATAATAGCAGAAGAATTGAGACTACAGGGCAAATACTTTTTATACATTGCCCCCAAACAAAGAGATAGTGGTTGGTTGGTAGACAGATATTGAAAGTGGTATGAGTCTATATGGCATTTCACACCTTGTTGCTGTTTAGTCGTTAAGTCGTATCCAACTCTTTGTGACCCCATGGACCAGAGCATGCCAGACCCTCCTGTCTTCCACTGCCTCCCAGAGTTGGGTCAAAGTCATGTTGGTAGCTTTGATTACACTGTCCAACTATCTCGTCCTCTGTCATCCCCTTCGCCTCTTGCCTTCACACTTTCCTAACATCAGGGTCTTTTCCAGGGAGTCTTCTCTTCTCATGAGATGGCCAAAATACTGGAGCCTCAGCTTCAGGATCTGTCCTTCCAGAGAGCACTCAGGGTTGATTTCCTTAAGAATGGATAGGTTTGTTCTCTTTGCAGTCCAGGGAACTCTCAAGAGTCTCCTCCAGCACCACAATTCAAAAGCATAAATTCTTCGGTTGTCAGTCTTATTTATAGTCCAACTCTCACTTCCATACAACACTACTGGAAAAACCATAGCTTTGACTATGCAGACCTTTGTCGGCAAGGTGATGTCTCTGCATTTTAAGATGCTGTCTAGGTTTGTCATTGCTTTCCTCCCAAGAAGCAGGTGTCTTTTAATTTCGGGGCTGCTGTCACCATCTGCAGTGATCATGGAGCCCAAGAAAGTAAAAGCTGTCACTACGTCCATATCTTCCCCTTCCATTTGCCAGGAGGTGATGGGACCAATGGCCATGATCTTAGTTTTTTTTTTTTATGTTGAGCTTCAGACCATTTTTTGTGTTCTCCTCTTTCACCCTCATTAAGAGGTTCTTTAATTCCTCCTCATTTTCTGCCATCAGAGTAGTATCATCTGCATAGCAGAGGTTGTTGATATTTCTTCCGGCAATCTTAATTCCGATTTGGGATTCATCCAGTTCTGCCTTTTGTATGATGTATTCTGCATATGAGTTAAATAAGCAGGGAGACAATATACAGCCTTGTCATACTCCTTTCCCAATTTTGAACCAATCAGTTGTTCCATATCCTGTTCTAACTGTTGCTTCCTGTCCCACATACAGATTTCTCAGGAGATAGATAAGGTGGTCAGGCACTCCCATTTATTTAAGGACTTGCCATAATTTGTTGTGGTCCACACAGTCAAAGGCTTTTGCGTAGTCAATGAAGCAGAAGTAGACGTTTTTCTGGAACTCTCTGGCTTTCTCCATAATCCAGCACATGTTAGCAATTTGGTTTCTAAGTCACACCTAGTAATGACTTAAGACTCATGTAGGATATTCAGTTCTTTACTTTCAAGGTTTTGCTCTGTAAACAGTGACAATTGTTAGTGGGTAAAGGAACCCCAAGCATTAGATAACAACAGCAGAAATACCATAATTGTTGTGGCATGACATATATGGTAATAAATTATGAATCCCTGACTTTACCTTTAAAACCTGTTCTTTAAAGGTGACTGGTTATTTGAGAAGGAACCTAGAAAATAGCCACAGATAATGTCATAATTATTGTAGTTTTTTACATTTGATATTGGATTTAAAACCCTTGGCTAATATTTAATCCATTGGGATGGTATCAAGCATATGTATATAATCTTTTAACAGCAAAGCTGGAAGGGACCCTATGGATCATCAAGTCCAGCCCCTGTCAACTCCCAACCTCTGTGTCTGCAGCCAGATGCTTAAACTAATGAGCTATATTTTATCTCAGCTGTCTCCCTCTGGATCCTTTTATTGTAATATTTCTTCTCCAAAATGG